ATACCGATAGGGGGCCGATTATATCGTGCATCCCTACTAATACATACATATTTCTAAATTACATGAATATGGCTGTTTAAGAAGGATTTTCAAAATTGCGAATTAGGGTTAAACGATCTGGCCATAAATTGAAATTGCAATTATGTTCAACCAATATTGCGATTTTATTGCGATTTTTGCACTAAGCGTAAAGCCTGTAGATGTTTCCATCAAGGGTTTCAGTTTCTGTCTGACCTAGAAAGGTTGCTTTTCCAGAATTTATTGATGCAGCACTTTACTGTAACCTTCAGAGAAAAAGTTTTTGCTTCTACTATCCTGCATGGATCTGCATGCTAGCTAGGGGTGTAAATAATAATCCTTTTGTATCGATGCATCGATCCAACAGCCGACGATCCGATGCATCGACACGTCTGCAAGAGTATCGATTCATGTTTTTTTTTTCCTCTGGTCTATTTTTATCCATTTGCTCCTGGACGTAATTCTGACTCCTGCACTGCGGTGGCGCTAAACATTTTTCGTACTCCTACCTCACTGCCTTCAGCCACTACCCTCTTTCCGCTTGCAGTATTTTTGATGCAAGGCCTTTTCAGAATCTATAACACAGAGGCATTCTTATTTTTCAGTGAATGAGGTTTTCATATGCCTAGGTGTAGTACAACTTCGCTACTTCTGTTATTTGCGTTTGTTTCTCAAATAAAATGCACAAAGATGTTACAGCTTTCATAGATTTATTTCACATTTGAAACATTGTCTAGCCTGTAAGGTAAGACAAAAAACAATTAATTGAATCAAATTGTGGTGTATTCTTGAGTTTAGAAAATAATCGAATCGTTGGGTCAGGAAATTGATACTGAATCGAATCGCCATGATGGATGTGATTTACACCCCTAATGCTAGCTGCAACTCTCTCCTCCGTTCTGTGCGGCGCCAGTCTTACCTTAATTACTGCCACATAAACTGCTGGAGTTAGACATTTAGCGTCTTACACTAAAAAAAATAAAAATAATGCAACCTCTTTTGACATTTACGCATATTTAAGCATATTTAGTTACTTTAACACAATCGTTTTATGTCAGCCCTGCTAAAATGAGCAAATTGTGTTAAAGTAACTAATTATGCTTAAATAAATGCCAAAAAAGGTTGCATTATATTTTTCAGTGTAGTCTTGATAAATGTATTGCGACAAAAATCTAGAGCTTCTGCGAGTTTTTTTCTAAATTGTGATTATATTGCAAATGCTTTTAATCTCCTAGCTATTCTGAATAGATTCTCATTAATCCCTTAAAAAACTAAGTTTTTAATTTATTTTATTTTTTTAACAACTGCAGGGAAAAGGTTTGTTCCTCTCA